ACACACACACACACACACACACACACACACACACACACACACACACAAAGAAGCAAATATAAGATACAGCTGGTATGGTGGCATGTGCCTGTGGTCTCAGCACTGCATAGACAGGCAGAGAAACTACCTTTTTTTTTTTTTTTTAATAAAATGTAAGCCTCAAGACACACAGTACATCACATCAACTCACTTCTCATCATGAACATGCTAGAGATGCCTACAGGTAGAAATGCTGTGATGACCATAGTTACGGTCACCTGGCCTCTGCAGTTTTGAAACGTTAACGTTTTTGAGGATTTCTGGCTTCTGGTCACTCAAAGATGCTGCTGTCCACTCTACAGTCATCCCACACACACACCATTTTTTAAGACAGTGTCTTACTCCATAGCTCTGACTGATCTGAGACTCACTATGTAGACAGGACTAGCCTTGAACTCCCAGAAATCCTCCTGCCTCCACCACCTCACCCAGCTAGATCAATCGTCTTTTTATTGCCTCAGTGAAGAGATCTCCTGCCCTCCTCAAAATCCTCCATGCTTAGCTCTTTGGCCCCATCAAGTCTCTGCCATCGGATGAGGCTCGGCTTGTGGTAGCTGAAGTGTCTGAGATGTCCTGGTCCTTGCATAAATACTGTCTCCGCTGGACAGATGCAAGACCCAAGCATCTCTCCATGTGGCTAGCTCTCATCTCTCTGCACTGTAGTGTCCCAGCTGGGCTGGATGTCCTCCATGGTGTCAGTCTTCCTAAATGCTAGCCTGAAGCTGAGCAGTGGTAGCCTTTAATCCCAGCATGAGGGAGAGCTCTGTGAGTTCGAGGCCAGCCTGGTCTACAGAGCAAGTTCCAGGACAGCCAGGGTCACGCAGAGAAACCCTGTCTCAGAAAAAAAACAAGCAAACAAAAAAGCTAGCCTAGAGCTGGAAGCAGTGTTCTTTCTAGCGCCTTTTGTTGCTGAGGGCAAGTCACAAGGCCAGTCTAGACACACGGACAGGGAGAGGCAGACATCAGGCTCCACCATTGCTCTGTGTGTGTACGCACACCCAAGCGAGCATGTTCACGTGTGTGCTTATCTAGGTACATGGAGGTCAGAGGGGTGACATACTGAGGGAACCTAGGACTTCCTGTACACTAGCCAAGGCCGGGATCACTGAGCGTGGCACGTGCTAGAGAGACAAGGACTTGACCATCTTTGGAAAGTGTCACTGAGAGGCCAGCCAGCTGCAGGCACCAGTGAGGACACCGAATCCTGAGTCACTGGAGAGCCGTCCATGCAGACCCAGGCCCTGTCAGTCTAATCACGTGTCCTGACTGCTCCTGTCGCCCTCACCGCCGTGTCCAAGTCCCCAAGATCATGAGCCCCTCGTCCCAGCCCTCTGACCCGCAGCTCACTTTTCCAGCTCTTGTCTTCATCTGCTCCACTCACCAGTTGCTAGGAACCCAGTCATTTGAGTGTGGCAGAAATAGATCTGAAGAAAGACAAATGGTCCCTGCTTTGCACAAGGCCGTTCGTTGTGTGCTCTCGGGTAAGAGGAAACTGTTTTTCCCTGGAGATGGAGGAGGGGCTGCCTCCACCACCCGGAAGCCGGGAGTCTGTGAGAAATTTAGGTTTGTCCACATCAGTGCCCTTATTCCTGGCCTCAGGGGTCCTGTTCATTCCCTGCTAAAACCAGGGCTTGGGAATGAGAGATGGCTAATAAAGTCTGTTTAGAGTCCTTTTGCGAGGCTACATCTTAGAATCTTGTCCTGGAGTTGACCCTTTTCACACCCGGAAGGTCTCTTTTGATGCTAAATGTCAGCCTAGGTTCCCTAGGAAGCAGGCCTTGAGTGGGAGGGCCTGGAAGCTGCAGTCCTTAAGTAGCCAAAGCCTGCACTCTGGGGTGGTGCTAACGAATTCTACTGGACCGCTGCTGGGGAAACAGAGCCTCTGAGGTTCAGCTGCGTCAACCTCCAGAACGGAAGCTGCTTCAGTCCCCATTATCACAGGCTTAATGGAGTCCACGGCAAAACCATAACAAGACCCCAGTGCGGCGTGCTGCACCCTGTGGGGGCTCGGGGCTCAGGCGGCGACACTGGGCGCTGGTGCCTTGTACTGAGGCAGCAATACCGAGCAGAAATAAAATGGGCAGTACTTGTTTATAACCCCAACACTAAGAGAGGATTGCTGAGAGTTTGAGGGTAGCCTGGGCAAACTCAGGCCAACCTGGAATCCATAGTAATATCTAGTCTCAAACAACAAACCAACCAACCAACCCCAGCCTAGCTTAGTCTAGGTATAGAGGTGAGCATTTACTTACAACACGACAGGAGAGTGGGAGCCAGGGAGGTGGCTCAGTTAGCAGAGTGCATGGTACACAAGGGTCAGGACATGAGTTCAAATCCTCAGGGCCCGCGTGGAAGGCTGGGCATGATGGCTGCAACCCAGCACTGTGAGGGTTGGGACAAACAGGAAGATCCCCCCCCCACAAACACTCACACATGAGCTTGCTGGCCAGCCAGTCTGGGCTAACCACTGAGCTCCAGATCCAGGCAGAGACTCTTCTCAAAAACGAACAAAGGCAATTAGCAGACAAAAGAGTTTCAGTGGGCTTATGGTTTCAGAGCGCAAGCCCACAGCCATCAAGGCAGGGATCACGGCAGCAGGCAGGCAGGCATGGTGCTGGGGTTCACACCTTGATCCACAGACACAAGGCAGAGACAGAGACACTGGGGTTGGCATGGGCTTTTGAATCCTCAAAGTCAGCCCTTAGTGACATGACATACCTCCCTCAGATCTCATGAAGGAGACCTACAACCCTAGAGGGAAAACCAACCAACCAGCAGGGCATTCTGGGACATTCCTTTAACCCCAGCACTCCAGAGGTGAAGGCTGAGGCAGATGCAGATGGATTTCTGTGAGTTCGAAGTCTATACAGAGACACAGACAGTTCTGGAACACCGAGGGCTGCGTAGGGAGACTATTTCAACAAATACATAAACAAATAACCAATTAATTAAATGCAATGTTAATGCCACACACACAGAAATCAGGCCTAATGAGGCAATCCCAGCACCTGGGAGGCTGAGGCAGGGGATTGCAAGTTGCAGGCCAACCTTAGTTACTTCAGGAAATCCTGCTCTGGAAATAAAAGTGCCTACTTCAACAGCGTGTTTACTAAACAAGAATGGATACAGAGAAGATCCGAATGATCCTTGCACAGGGAAGACCCAGAAATTCAAGAATCTTTGCAGTTTAAAAAAAGCAAACAAACCTAAAGGCTGGTTGTGGGGGCTCACAGTCAGAAGGCAGAGGCAAGCAGAGAGGTTTTCTGAGACTTAAAACACTCTCATAACAGCATTACTCACAATGACCAGAAGGGGGTGCTGCCATCCAATGGGTTCTTTCCAAAAGTCAGGCGCTGAAACAAACCGCGCGGGAGCCGGTGTTAAAATGGGCTAAAGCCAACAGGGTGGCGGTGGTGACGCATTAATCCCAGCCCTCAGGAGGCAGAGGCAGATGGATCTCTGTGAGTTCGAGGCCAGCCTGGTCTACAGAGTGAGTTCCAGGACAGCCAGGGCTACACAGAGAAACTCTACACACACACACACACACACACACACACACACACACACACACACACAGGGGAATGTATTAACATATTTTAGGTGACTAAAAAGATCTTGCTAGGGGATCTGGGTCCAGTTCCCAGCATTGCCAGCAGTAGAGGCATCTCATGCCTCAAAAATGCCCTTCCAGCCTCTGGCTCTCTGCACTCCCCTTCATCTGGACAGCCTCCCGCCATGGCCTCCGCTTCATTTAGCTGCTGTCCCTTCCGGGAAGTCCTTTCTGACAATTCTGTGTGCCGGGACACTGCTCATCGGGTTCCCCCTCCCCTTTATTGTTGCTATTATTATTACTTTTTTGTCTCGGTACTTTGGATTGTCGGAGAGTGAATTGTATACTTGTTTCCTTTGCCCTCACTCTACCCCGACCCATGAATCAGGAAATCCTGGAGCTCAGGGTCTTGGTCGTGTTCTTTGCTGTACTTCCAGGGCCTAAAACTCTGATACATGGGACCAGGAAATTTTGTTTTTTAATACTTTTTCAATTAATGCTGTAACCGTTTCATACATGTATGTATGTTATTGATATTCCCACGAATATACACAGCACACACACATTACCCTCTCTTACCCGCCCTTACCCTGGAGCTTTTCTGATTCCCAATGAATTGGTCTTCTGTTTTCATGCCTTCTCTTTAAAAAAATTTATCTCTGAGACACTATCTACTTCTGGCTGTTTTGGAACTCACTACAGCTATATAGCTAGAACGGTGTAGCGCACTTGAACCTCTCAAGGGCTGAGATTATAGGGTGTGTCACCACATCCAGCTTAAAATTAATTAAAAAAAAAAAAACTTTTATCACCAAGCCAGGCGACATGGCACATGGCTTTAATCTTAGAATTCCAGACCAGGCAGGGCTAAATAGAGAGATCTTGTCTCTCTGCCTCCTAAGTGTTGGGATTAAAGGTGCGGACAACCATGCCCAGCTCAAAAACTTTTTAACTGAAAAAGCATTTTAAGAAGTTTTATTGGCTGAGTGGTGGTGAGGCAGGGCTTTAATTCCGGCAGAGGCAGGTGAATTTGAGGCCAGCCTGGTCTACAAAGTGAGTTTTAGGTCATCATCATCCAGGACTACACAAAGAAACCTTCTCTGGCATAAAACAAAACAAAAACAAAATAAACAAAAAAAGTTCTTATGACTGAGTCTGTGGACTGAGAATTCACAGCTCTGTACGTGTGTGTGTGTGTGTGTGTGTGTGTGTGTGTGTGTGTGTGTGTGCACGGCCCAGAGCTTCACATACATCACATGAACCCTCAGCCCACCAGAGTTATTTTTAAATCTGAAGGGCAGGCAGTCCTGGGATTAACCCTCGGGCTTTATGCATGCTAGGCAAGGGCTCTACCGGAGCTCCGACTTCATTCTGCGTCACTTCACCCATCAGTGGTTCACAGAGGTCTGGAGACTCTGGCAGCAGAGCTGCCTTTGACCCCTGGTCACAAGTCCAAGAGGCCACATGGGACTTGGGGGCCATTCATGAAGGCTTCACAGGAGCTTTTCTGTGCCTGGCCTTTGGCCCGTTGCTGGGAGGATATGGAGCAGGGAAAATGTCTCCTGAGTATGGGCCTGTCGGGGGTGATGTCTTTTGTCCCTTGCTTGACAGGCTGGCCCATTTTCTGAGTCTTCCCTTCTTCCCTGTGGCTGTCTAGTGAGAACTGGTTGGCCCTCGTGGGCAGCCCACACCCATCCCCCAAGGTACCTTTGTGGGGCAGCTGGAAGGAGTCCTCAGCTGAAAGGTACAGCAGTTACGCTAAGCCAAGGCCTAAAGGAAGTGAGAGCAAGACCCTTCCTGGGAGGATATAGCCTGGAATGGCTGGGACCACACAGAGAGAGGCAGCAATCAGACACACACACACACACACACACACACACACACAGAAGCAGATAAGAGCGCTGACTGCTCTTCCAGAGGTCCTGAGTTCAATTCCCAGCAACCACATGGTGGCTCACAACCATCTCTACTTGAATCTGATGCCCTTTTCTGACATGCAGTGCAGATGAGCACGCATACATAAAATAATAAATATAATCTTACTTAAGACGGCTGGGGATATGGCGGTGGGCGTTACCACAGGGCATACTCGAATGTCTTTAGTCTCAGCATACAGGAGCAGCTGGAGGAGGCAGGAGATCTCTTTGAGTTTTAGGTCATCTTGGTCTACATAGCACATTCCAGGACAGCCGGAACATAGTGAGACTCTGTCTCAACACAAAACAGGGCTGGAGAGATGGCTCAGAGGTTAAAGAGGACTGGCTGTCCTTCCAGAGGTCCTGAGTTCAATTCTCAGCAACTACATGGTGGCTCACAACCATCTATAATGAGATCTGGTGCCCCCTACTGGCATGTCGGCACACATGCAGGCAGAACACTGTATACATAATAAATACATCTTAAAAAAATGCTTTTGTTTGTTTGTTTTTTAAGACAAAACAAAACACAAAGACATGATGGATAAAGGCCAAGCTTGGCCAGCCTGGACATTCAGCAGAGAGAGGTTAGCTCAGGAACCATCAGCCGCTATCTCAGTTCAGCCTCTGAGCAGCCAGAAACCCCTTTGGCTGGTGTCTCTTGCTCTTCTTCTGGACTCTGATGTAACGTGTGCTTCATTCTTCTGAGGCACGGTCTGACGTCTCCTCCATTCTGTAAAACCAACTACCCTCTCTTTCTGCAGCTTCTTACTCACGGCTTCTCTGTGGGTGTCTCCTCTCTAGCTTTGAGTTTCTTTAGCCTCAAAAAGGGCCTTTCTTCTTCTATGATTCCATAGAATCATCTAGGTCCAATCTAGGCTCAGGCCATTGACTCCACATGCAGATTGAAAACCCCCTCAAAACTCCTCTCTTTCAGGGGCTGATGAGATGCTCGGCAGGTCAGAGCACTTAGTGCTCCTGCATGATCCCTAACACCCACATGGTGGCTCACACTTGTCTGTAACTTCAGCGGAGCCAACACCTCTTCTGGCCTCCAAGGACTCCAGGCAAATACATGGTGCATAGACATGCATACATGCAGGCAAAAACCAAAACAAAAAAACAAACCCATACACATTAAAAACGAAGGCGAAGACTGGTGGAATGCTTGCCTAACAGGCATGAAGCACTAAGTCTGATCCCCAGCACCACATAAACGGAGTCCAGTGGCTAAGGCCTGTGATCCGAGTACTTAGGAGGTAGAGGCAGGAGAATCAGAAGTCGTCTTTGGGTACATAGAGAGCTGTAAATGTTTTCTATTAGTGGGGGCCCTTTCTAGTGCCTGCCCTAGTTCCCAAATAATGACATGCAGACCTAACGCATTTATTAATAAGCTTTAAAGCACTATAACTGGGCGGATATTCATCTACTGGTGCCAAATTATGCTAGCCTGGCTATCTCCCAGCCACATGCCTGTTCACTTGCCATCAGCCTTGTCTTGGTCTCCTGCTGTATGTTTCTGTTCCCATCAAAGGTGGCCTTCCCCAGGACATGACTTTCTCATCTCTTCGGTCCCTACCTGAAACCCGTACGCTGGGAATGGAAGTCCCACCTACTGTCTCTTCTACCCAGCAATTGGCTCTTCAGCTTCTTTATTAACCAATCAGAGATAATCCTCCGTGAGCAATTTTTACATAACACTGAGACCCGAGATCTTCATAGAAATGACAATGCCCATGGCAGGACTGCAGCCAGATCTCAGGGGCAGAAATGAGCATCTGAAAACACAGTGGCCAAGACCATCCCCTAACAGGGAGTTTGAGCCTGGAAGACACGAGACCCTGACTCAACACACACACACACACACACACACACACACACACACACACACAACTATCGTCTTGGGTGGGGATGTACTAACGGGGCTGAGAATAACACTCTTGGGTTTGGGTCCCCAGCACTGCAGAAAGCAAAAAACAACCCTTTCTGTCTTCATGTCACACTCCTAAGAGCTATAAAGAGCCCGTGGACCGGAGCTGGAGAGATGGCTCAGCAGTTTAGAGGACCCAGGCTCAGTTCCCAGAACCCAGGCGGTGGTTCCCAGATCATTTTCCCCTGTTTCCAGGGGCGCCGACATCCTCTTATAGCCGTGCTCTGCCTGCGACCCCGGCACTCTGGGAGGTGGAGGCAGAGGCAGGCGGATCGCTGTGAGTTCAAGGCCAGCCTGGTCGACAAAGCCAGTCCAGGGCAGCCCAGGCTACGCAGAGAAACCCTGTCTCAAAAATAAATAAATAAATAAATAAATAAATAAATAAATAAATAAATAAATAAATAGATAAAGAGATAAAGAGATAAAAATGAAATAACTTACTAGATGATGTCCCCATGCAGATCTAGAACTTACCATGTCAAAACAACCCTTTTTTGGTTTTGACACCGGAAGTCACCTTTCTAATCTTCTCTTTTGCCACTAGTATCACCAGACCCAGGCGTGTTGACTGTTTCTGTCTTCCCTTCTCTGCCCCTCCCCCCCCCGTTGGAATCCATTGTGTGTCCTTCTGATTCTACTACCGCGTATGTCTTGAATTCTCTTCCCCACTGTCACCTTTAACCCACCACCTCTCGCCTAGATAACTGCAGGAGACTCCTAAAATGACAGCCAGGCATTTATTCCAGCCTGGGGCAGTAGATCGCTTCCTCGCTGCCAGACAGCGTCTCTCGGAAACCAAACCGGCTTCAGCTTCTCTGTGTGGAGGAGGAGCGCCTTGCCTTGAATTTCTAAGTCTCTTGTCTCCACTTCCTGGCGTTCTGGGATTGCAGGCGGGCACCGCTGTGCCCAGCACATGCAGTGCTGTAGAATGGAGCCCAGGGCATCCTGAATGCTATGCAAGTGCTTTAACAACACAGACGCACCTCGGACATCTTGCTGTCTTGTTTTTAAAACTTGGTCTTATACGTAGCTTCCACTGGCCTGTAACTAGTTATGTAGATCAGAGCAGCATCAAAGCTGTAGCAATTCCCCCTCTGTCTCAGATAAATCTCAAAAAAACAAACAAACAAAAAAATTCCGGGTTTACTTTCCTCCCTCCCCCCCAACCCCCTTTGGGTAGGTAGCCTTGGCTATCCTGGACTCTCTTTGTAGACCGGGCTGGCCTTGAGCTCCCAGCTCTTGGTCTGCCTCTGGCTCCCTGAGGGCTGGGGTTACAGGTGTGCACCACCACGCCCAGCTCAGGCATACTTTATATGGATGAACGTTTTGCTTCCATGCATGTATATGCACCACTTGTATGCCTGTTGAATTCCCTGGAACTGTCGTTACGGATGGTCACAGCACCATGCATGGGATGCTGGGAACAGAGTGCTCCGACCTTCTGAGTCATCAGTGCAGCCCCTCAGAAAAATCTTTCAAAAAAACCAAGCTTGGGGCTGGGGAGATGGCTCAGAGGCTAAGGGCACTGTCTCCTCTTCCAGAGGTCCTGAGCTCAATTCCCAGCAACCATATGGTGGCTGACAAACATCTGTATCTGGTGCCCTCTTCTGGCGTGCAGGCACACATGCAGGCAGAACACTATGTACATAATAAATAAACAAATCTTAAAACAAAACAAATCAAAAACCAAGCTCACCAGGTATGGTGGTGCACTCTCATAATCCCAGTACTCTGGGAGGCAGAGGCCGGCCAATCTCTGTGAGTTTGAAGCCAGCCTGGTCTACACAGTGAGTCCAGGATAGCCAGGGCTACACAGAGAAACCCTGTCTTGAAAACAAAAACAACAAAAAAGACAAAGCTGAAACATGTTGCTACTTGCTTACAGCTTGCCAATAAGTTCTTTCCCACCGTCTTTTGTATGTTCCTCTATGATAAAAAAAATCCACATGGGGAAAAAAAATCCGCATAGGACCATTGGTGTAGGAATTTAATCCCAGCACGCGGGAGACAGAGGCCCCTGCCTCTGTGAGGGGATCTCTGTGAGCTGGAAGCCAGCCTGGTCTACAGAGTGTATTCCAGGACAGCCAGACTACACAGAGAGACCCTGTCTCGAAATACCAAAAATTCCATATGGGGTCTGCGGAGCTGCACACCTCTCTCCTGCCGCCTCTGCAGGCATCTTTTCTCTCCCTCTTTTCTGCTAAGGCTCAGATGGGTGGTTTTTTCTCTCTTCATCATATCAAATTTCATCCCACCTCAGGGTCATGTTGACCTTCAGATCTTGGCCCGTCATCAGAAAATTCTTTCTTGTTTTATTATTCTACCTTCTCTATTCCCTCATCCTGGCTCTGTCCCTTATCTTTGCAGATTTCTCTCTCTCTCTTTTGTTCTCTGTGTAGCCTTGGCTGTCCTGAAACTTGCTCTGTAGACCAGACTGGCCTCTACCACAGAGATCTGCCTGCCTCTGCCTCCTGTGTTGGAATTAAAAGCCTTTGCTACCATATCTGGTTTGTTTGTTTGTTTGTTTGTTTGTTTTAAGGCCAGGGTCACATGTAGCTTAAACTAGCCTCAAACTCGGTATGTATACAAGGATAACTTTGAACTTTTCTTTTTTAAAGAGGATCATAGGACTCTTTTTAAAAAAAGATTGATTTATTCATTATGCATACATCATTCTAACTACATGTGTGCCTGCACACCAGAAGAAGGCACCAGATCTCATTACAGATGGTCATGAGCCACCATGTGGTTGCTGGGAATTGAACTCAGGACCTCTGGAAGAGCAGAGAGTGCTCTTAACCTCTGAGCCACCTCTCCAGCACCAACCCTGAGCTTCTGATCCTCCTGCCTCCAATTCCCATGTACCAGGATTACAGGTGTTACTACCATGTTCAAGTCACAGTTTGTCTTTTAATCTATCACAGCCCCTTTGGCTGATCCGCTAAACAAAGGCAGAGACCATGTCTGCTTTACTGACTGTGTGCTTAAGCCAGAATCATCCCATAGGAAATACTAATAAAGACTTATTCAACGAGGGACTGGTTAGGAGTGTGTGGTTTTCCTGCAGAGGACCCTCATTCAGGTACCCAGCACGCATGTCAGGCAGCTTACCACTGCCTGTAACTCCAGATCCAGGGCACTCCATCTGGTCTCCATAGGCACTGCAGTCATGTGCGCGCATGCGCGCGCGCACACACACACACACACACACACACACACACGCGCGCGCGCGCACACACACACACACACACACACATATATATATTTAAAAGTAAGAATAACTTTTTTTAAAGAAAGGTTTATTATGGACATTCTCTTTTCCTTTCCTTCCTCGATCTTCCTATGCCTAAAAAGCCTGAACATAACAGATTCCATTTTGTCACTGGCCTCCATCCTATACGTGACCTAAAACTTACCCCTGCTTCAGAAAAGCACGTTTGTACTTGCAGAAAACAAGTGAACGAACTACAACATTTCTGAGAATGGCCACACAGTGTGTCGACCCTGAAACTAGCTGATCAGAAAAACGGGTCAAAATGACCTTTGTCCTTGAGGTTACTAAAATAATTACATGTTATCATTATGGTTACCAAAATAGTTACTCCAGACGGTTACAGACTGCATCTAACCAATCACTATGTAACAAGCTTGCTCTTGCTAAACGTCGCCCAATCCTGTAACTGCCAAGTCTAGAAGCCCCTTCCCCTTGCAAAAAATAAAAAATAAAAAACCTATCAAAGCTTCTTTCCAGGCTCAGGACTCCTAGCCTCTGACTGCTCTGACAGTTCACGCTGGGAGCCCGAGCCCAAGCCTGAATAAAGGCTCTTTGCTTTTGCATATGATTTCTGACTCCTGGTGTGGTCGATGGTCTTTTGGGGTCTCGCAAGCTGGGTACAAGATGCCCTACCCCCTTGTTCTTTCTCCAGTGCCGGAGATCAAGGCTCGCACATGCTAGGCCGTGTTGAATGGATGCATCAGTTAGCTCTGTATTAAGTGAGGGAGAGACAGAGATGACCCAAAAGGACATTGCCAGGATCACTCTAAAAGGCACAGTCTGATGAAGACAGTGGGCAGTTGTGAAACGGTTAAACAGGAGAGCACAGAGGCATCACTGGTGCTCCAGGGAAGGGTGCGCGTGTAAGCACGGAAGCTATGTTTACATAACTCAAAAATATTTTTCCCCCAATTACATTTTATTTGTATTTGTGTGTAAGTACAGGTGAGTGAGTGCAGATGCCTGCAGAGTTCAGAGGCCTCGGCAGCACCCCCGCAGCTGGTGTTACAGGCCGTCTGAGCCTCCAGACGTGAGCGCTGGGAGCCAAACTCGACTGCAAGAGCCGCCGTCCCCCGCCGCATCTCTCCAGCTCGCAGGGGACACTCATCTTAATAGCCTGTTTCCCCCTTAGAGAGGGCTGCGCAGAAGGCCCTGCTCTGAGGACAGGGTCTCCCCCTTAGCTGCCCAGCTCGCTCAAACCCGGGGCGGCCTCGGGGTTCGAATCCGACGTCGCCCCACTGTTACCCCAACCCCGCCCTCCTCCGGCTAGCGGGAGGCTCCATGGCAACCCAAAACATCACAACTCCACCGAGTATCGCGAGAAGCACCGCCGCGTCGGCGGCCCAGGAGAGGCGGAGCGAGGACCGGGCCGCAGACGCCAAGCCTCCTCGCTCGCTTGCTCGCTCGCTCGCTCGCTCGCTCGCTCCCTCCCTCGCTCGCTCTCGGAGGGAGGACGCTCTCTCCAGGCGGCGTCCCCGCGTGACTGCGCTTTACATAACCGCGGCCCCGGGCGTCACGGTGGCGTAGTCGGAGCCAGGCCGAATCAGAGCCGCCGGGAGCGCCCCGCCCCGCCCCCTCGCGCTTGATCGACGTCCGCGCGGACCAGCCAGGGGCCCCCGGGCGCCGGAGGGCCCGCCCCCGCGCCCGCGGCCCGCCCTCGCGCGCCCGCCCTGCGCAGCCCGCGGCCGGCCGCCGCCGCCAGGTTGCGCCTGAGACTGTCAGATAAAGCGGCGGGCGGGCGGGCGGCGAGCGCGGCCCGGGCCGGACATGGCGGCGCTCTACGCCTGCACCAAGTGCCACCAGCGCTTCCCCTTCGAGGCGCTGTCTCAGGGGCAGCAGCTGTGCAAGGTGCGCGGGCTGGGGCGGCGGCCGGGAGCTGGGGACGCCCCGGGCGCGGCTCGGAACTCTCGGTCCCGCCGGGACGCCCGCCGGGGTCCCCTCGGGCCGGGTGTGGCCGGCCCGCCTCCCCGGGGAGCGGCGTGGGGGACCCCGGGCCCGGGCTCAGGCCCCGGCAGCCGGCGTGTCCCGGTGCTTAGCAACGGCGGGGGTTTCTTCTGGGCCCGGTGAGGTCGCGGGGAGGGGACGGCGAGTCTCCTGTCTGTCCCCGGCTGGGTCCGCCCTCTCGCCTGCCCCGGTGGCCCTGGGTGCAGATGGAGGAGGGTCCGGGGATTCCCCCTCTCCCGGCTGTGATTGAACCCCGGAGTCAGGTGCTGTCTGTGAGCGTGTCTCGAACTTGCGCTCTTGATGGGCACTTTTAAGCCAGTCGCAAAGTTGGAGGTGGCGAGCCTTCATTACGGAAAAATGAAAAAAAAAAAAAGTATCCGAATGTAGCCTTGGAGCGCACAAATCAAAAGACTTTTTAGCACCTAGCTGGTAGCCTTCCGCCTTGCCCTTAGCATTTTTAACCCCCTAAATGGTAACGTTTTTTTTGTTTGTTTGTTTTTTGTGAACAGAGCAACAATTAAGTCAGCAAGCTCGAGGGAAGTTGCCTTTGACAGAGTCTCAGATATTTCTGAGTGTGTGTCCATTGCGTATGCACACACACACACAAATGCCCATACCTTTTCCTTCCGCCACTTGTGTCCACTGTGTCTGAATGATGTGGTGCTTGAGTGCCCCTTTGGACATAGAAACCATGATTTAACAGTTTGCTTTTGAGACAGGGTCTTCACATTCGTAGCTCCTGGAACTCTTAAGAGTTCCGACGGCCTCGGCCTCCCAAGTGCTTGGATTAAAGTGGGGTGCTGCCTAAAACTAGGATTTTTTTTTTTTCTTTCTTAAGGAATTTTTGTAAACAAACACTTTTAATCTGTTGCCTTCGTTTCACAAGTAATCCTCCTCCGTATCCCACAATGGCAGACTTGGGCATTAAGGTGTCTAATCGCCAATCCGGGGCTTTGTCGAGCATGTATTTGTTTTACTATTTATGAGTAATTCATACAAATTCCTACTCCCACATCAACAGCAGGGAAGTGACTCCGGTATCACAGAGGAGGAAAATAAGGTGCAGAGAGTTGAGTGACTCACTGCAGCTTAGTGGCTGCGCCAGGAGTGTTAGTACCCAGGTCTGCGCCTTGCTGCTGAAGGCTGCCGCCGCTCCCCAGGGCCTGTTGACATGCTCTCCTCCTCTGTTCCAGGAATGCCGGATTGCTCACCCTGTTGTGAAGTGCACCTACTGTAGGACTGAGTACCAGCAGGAGAGGTAGAGTTCTGGTGGATCCCAGTGACGGGGGGGTTTCGTTTTTCTTGCTGTCTTGTTATATAGGTTGGTTTGTTCGGAGACTGCAGCCCAGGCTAGCTCTCAGTTTGAGACGGTCTTTCTCTCCAGCCTCCCTAGGGCCAGGACTAAAAGTGTGAGCCACCACAGCTGCCTTGGGAAATGGAAATCGGTCTGGGTGTGGTGGGTCACATCTTTAATACCAGTAGTCCCGTTGGCTGGAGAGATGGCTAAGTGCTTAAGGGCATGCAGCTGCTCCTCCAGAGGACCAGACGATTAGAGACGCCCATATCAGTTTTCTGACAACCTGTAAATCCAGTTCCAAGGGGATCCAACTCCTCTGGCCTCTGTGGGCAGCTGCGTAGACATGGATATACCTACAGAACACGCATTAAAAAAAAAAAATAGTAAAATTAAAAAAAAATAAATAAGCCAGGCATAGTGGCACAGGTATTTATTTAATCTCGGTGCTCAGGAGTCATAGGCAGGAAAATCTCTGAGTTAAAGGCCAGCCTCGTTAACATAGTCAGCTCCAGGACAGCCAAGGCTATATCTCCATCTGTCTGTCTGGAGAGCACCTTTCTGTTTGAGACAGGGTGTCTCTGTGTGGTCTTGGCAGTGCACGCCACCACACCCTGCTGACCCTGTTTTATACGTTAAGTCGAAAATAACAGCAGGAGCCAGGCGCAGTGGTGCAGCGCTCAGGCGGATTCTCTGTGGGTTCGAGGCCAGCCTGGTCTACAAAGCAAGTCCAGGACAGCCAAGGCCACACAGAGAAACCCTGTCTTGAAAACCCCGAAACAAAAACAACAGTGTTCCTTTTCTCCATTAATTGCAGTACTGGAGAAATAGGCTGTCTGGTCTCAGAGTGAAAGTTGGAGGCCAGCTATACACAGTGAGACAATGTCTTAAAAATAAAATGTAGCCAGGTGCTGTTGGGACATGTCTTTAGCCCCAGCCCTGAGTTTGAGGCCAGCCTGGAATACATAGTGAGTTCCAGGACAACCAGGGCTACACAGAAACCTTGTCTCGAAAACCAAAAAGAAAATAAATTGTGAATAGATTTTTTTTTCCTTTTAAAGTTTCTGCTTATATTTTATGCAGACATAGCACTGTAATGATTGTGTTGTAGCATCTGTTTATTTTTCAGTTGGATGAGGTCTTAGTACGTAGATGAGTAGTCTTTTTTTTTTTTTTTAAGTTTTATGTTTATTGTTAAATGTGTTGATGAGCTCAGCTGCTGGTGAAATAGTGACCCACCCAACGTGGGTGCTGAAACTGAACCTGTGTTCTCTGGAAAAGTAAAAAGTGCTCTTAACTACGCGTCTCTCTAGTCCTAGGATGGCGTCATGCGCAGAGATCCGCTTGCTCCTGCCTCCACAGTGCTAGGGTCAAAGGCGTTACCAGCTAAAACATACAAATATGTAGCCAGTTACATTACAGACAAATGACGCAGTTCCTGCAGATTAAGGAGTATATAGTGCGCAAATTATTTCCTATATACTCCCGATTGTTTGCTTAGATTTTTATTTTATTAGTGCAGTTTTCTGCCACTTTGAAAAAAGAAGTGGGGAGTCCAGCCCGGTGGTGCAGGTCTGTAATCGCAGGGGCTGGTGAGACCTTGACTCAGATCAACAAAGGTGACCACGTGTACAAGGATCAAGGATCTGAAAAGTAAATGACAGGCAGCTTCATTGTTTGTTTTGTTGTTGTTGTTCACCCCAGCCCCCAAGACAGGGTTTCTGTGTGTAACAGCCCTGTAGACTCGGCTGGCCTGGAATTCACAGAGATCCGCCTGCCTCTGCCTCCGAAGTACTAGGATTGCTGCCATGCCCGGCTTCTTGTTGTTGTTGTTGTTTTGAGACAGGGTTTCTCTGTGTAGCCCTGACTGTCCTGGACTCGACATGTAGACCGGGCTGTTCTTGAACACACAGAGATCCACCTGCCTCTGCCTCCCTGAGTGCTGGGATTGCAGGCGTGCGCCACTGCGCCCAGCTGACATACGACTTTAAACACTCAAGTAGGCTGGTTGAGCACTCTGAGCTCGAGAGAGATCCTGTCTCATAAAAACAACAGAAAACACACAGGTACACAAAAAGCTCTCTCACACAAATACCAGCAGTCTCTTAATTGCAGCCCTGGAGAAGCAAGCCTGGTAGACATAATGAGCTACAGACCAACTAGCAAAGCTATGTACCCAGACCCTGTGTCTAAAACCAAAAAGCCTGTAACTCCAGAGAGTTCAGAGAATGAGAATGGCTAAAGGCACTTTCTTTGCTGTACTTACCGCACAGAGACATGTACACACAGATAATTAAAAATTGGCTTGGCAAATACTTTTTTTTTTTCTGAATGTCTGGAGTCAAAGTTGGGGCCTCACATGTGGTCGGCAAGTGATCTCCTTCCGAACTACGTCCACGTAAGCCCCCGGGACTACAGGCTTGCACCATCATGTCCCGAGTTTCCATTTAATTATGTCTTCTGTTCTGACGTGTTTAGTTTTTCTCTTTGTCATTGTATTCTTTTCTTTCTTTTTTTTTTTTCTGTTTTTTTCAAGACAGGGTTTCTCTGTGTAGCCCTGGGTATCTTGGAACTCATTCTGTAGACCAGGCTGGCCTTGAACTCAGAGATCCTCCTGCCTCTGCCTCCTGAGTGCTAGGATCAAAGGCCTGTGCCACTACCAACCTGCATAACATATGTTTTATATGGAAATGAATTTTCTGTGGGCAGGTTGCTTCGCTCCAGCATTTTGGCTACATCACGACCTTTAGATCTTCACAAGGCAAAGGAAGTGTTTATTTTGGACAGTGGCTGACTTAGAGGAATTGCAGATACTAAGTATTTGCCCACAGCATGTATTTCCCATGTCTCATTCCCATGCTCTTCCCTGCTGAAGAGAGTATAGGCTAAGATAATGTGTTGGTCTCAAATTCATGTCGCAGGTATACACCCTCATTCCTCACCGTCAGTTCCTCAGAGACTCATCTGAAGCCTAGAGAATTAGCCTCTTTCCTCGTATTTCCTTCTGGTTTAACACTGTGTTTTGAGGGCCTTCTCTATACATGATAGTTTTAAAGATGGCATAGTTAAAGCTGGTCATGTGGTCTCACATCTGTAGTGCTAGCATTGAGGAGGCAGAGGCAGTAGGTCACAGCCGTTCTCAGCTGCACAGTGAGTTTGCGGCCAGCGTGGGCCGCATGAGGAAAATACCAATCCTGGGGCGGGGGATGGGACACACGGCATTAGCTGAAGTAACTGATTCTCCATCTAAACTGAGTTGTCATGGTTAGTTGACCAAATGTCCAGACTCTGTCAGCTGACCCCTAGTACCTTAGCAATGACAAACTTCTTGGATTTCAGAGGAACATTTTCAGATGTTCTAAGGAAAGTCTGTTTTATTTTTTCTTTAACAGTAAAACCAATACAATATGCAAGAAGTGTGCTCAGAATGTCCAGTTGTATGGAACGGTAAGTAGAATTTCCCTAAACCAAAATCTTAACAGGAGTGAGTGCTTAGATTTCCTCAGAACTTAACTTTCCGGGCCTGGAGCAATGGCTCAGTGGTCGAAAGTACTTGTTCCCAGAGGACCACATGGTGGCCGACAACTCTACTTCCAGGGGATCTGATGCCTCCTCCTAGCTTCTGCGCGCAGTTTACTCATGTAATGTACATATAGACATGCAAACACCCACACGTATAAAATAAAACATTTCCAAATTAGATATATATATAATTTTACCTTCCTTTTTTTCCCCTTCCCCTTCTCCTCTTTTCTCCCTTCTTTCCTGATGTCACAGGTCAGCTTTGTGGTGTTAGTTCTCTCCTTTGTGAGTTCTGGGGATTGGCAAGCGCCTTTGCATGCTGAGTCGTCTCTTTGGTTGTTTTTTTTTTTTTTGAGTCAGGGTCTCACTATGTGGCCCAGATGTCCTGGAACTCCCTCTGTACACTACTAGCCTCAAACTCACAGAGATCCCCCTGTGTCTGCCTCCTGATTGCTGGGATTGAAAGTGTGCGTCACCATGCCTGGCGTGTTTTTGTTTTTGTTTTGAGATAGTGTCTCATGTAGCTCAAGTTGGCCTCAAACTCAACTGTGTTCTGTTGGATTCTTGTTGAAGTCTCATCGTGGACACTCGTGGGTTTTCATTGTTATTTTTTTTATTTAAAAATCAGTAATCCTATGGGGGGGTTACTTTCTATGGTGCTAAGAATTGGGCTTCTTTTGAGCACTTAGGAGCAAATGATGTTGGGAACACGTTTACCCTGTGACATGAACTACAAAGTAGGAATTATTATTATAAAAAAAATAGGCCAGTAGTTTATGATAAACCTAACTTGATCCCTTTTTTGTCTCTAAGCCTAAGCCTTGTCAGTACTGCAACATAATTGCAGCATTTATTGGGAATAAATGCCAACGCTGCACAAATTCAGAGAAGAAGTATGGACCCCCGTATTCTTGCGAGCAATGCAAGCAGCAGTGTGCATTTGACAGGAAAGATGATCGAAAGAAGGTAAGTTGCTGTCTCCTCCTCTTCCTCCTCTTTCTCCTCTTTTGTCTTGTTTTATTTTATTTTACTTTTTAAATTAAATTGGGCCCAAATCAAGTGGGCATAATTCTGAGATCCTTTCCTGCTTCTGTTACCTACCTTGAAGAGTTAGGCTTTGTTTCTTTGGTTTTTTGGTGGTGGTTGTTTGTTTGTTTTAGGGTTGGGTTGTACTATTATCTCTGCTTGAAACCCTCTGGTGGTTTCATTTCTACTCAAGTAAAACCAAAACACTTCCACGCCTGCCAGGTCTTACCCTACCCAGCACTCAGTTTCCTCCTGTATTCGCTCACCTGTGACCATGTGGTCTTCCTTTCACTCTTCAGGCATCCCAGGTTCTTTCCCTCTGCCTTTGTGCTGCCGTGCTTCGCTTTATGCAGCCTTTTCCAGAAAGTTCGGATTGGTTTCTTTGCTTGTAATTTGGATGACACCTCTTTAAAGGAACCTTTTTGTGGGAAGGAAGAGGTGAGACAAGGTCTCATGTAGCCTTGGCTGGCCTTGAACTTTCTCTGTAGCTGAGGAAGACCTGCTGGAGACATTCTGTAGTTTCCTCGGTTCTAACTCACATCATTCCTTCATTGTCTTCATAATGTGTCCTTATAGAAATTACATTCCGTATTCCATGTTTCTTGTCTCATTAGGTTGTGAGCTTTCTCCATCTTTTTCCTCTCTTGAAATTCTGGTGGCCTGGACACAGTAAGGAGTTAGTAAGGAAATACTTAGGAACAGAGAATGTAGTTAGTCGTCCCGAAGCCCTGTCAATGCCAGTGAAACGTTTGGGCTCTCAAGGCTTCCTCTTGCTAATTATTAAATTATAGTAGAGGGATATAACTTTCGTTGATGAGCATATTTCTGCCTGCCAGCCGGGCACCTTCCTTAAATAAGACGCTTGAAAAGCTGTGTTAGTAATCAGTAGATACCTTTAGTGCTGTTCTTCCCTGACTACAGAGATGGCTCAGAGGAGAAGAGCACTAGCTGCTCTTCCAGAGGCCCCAGGTTTGATTCCTAGCACCCACATAGATGCTCACGGCTGTCTGTATCCAGTCCCAGAGAATCCAACACCCTTTCTGGCCTCTCAGTGCACTGCACATACATGGTACACAGACATACATGAGGCAGAACATGAATACATATAAGATAAAAAAAATAAAGGGACAAAAGGCCTCTGTCCACTTGCAGGGATAGGGAGCTGCCTGGGCTTTGTAGCACCCTTGGTCTGAATTGAGTCCTGTCTCATTCCAGAGCTAGCTGAATGATCTTGGGCAAGTTGTTCTCATTATGTGTCCATTTCTTTTTCTTTCCTGATGGGAATAACAGCTACAGCAGAGAAACAGGGAGACTGAATGAAGTAGTTATAGAAAATAGCTTTTCGGTTTTGTTTGTTTGAGACAAGCTCTCACTGTGTAGCCCTGGATGGCCTTGAACTCACAGCTATCTGCCTGCTCTGCCTCCTGAGTTACTGTTTGAGCCGCCACAATCGACTTTTGTATGTTTTTAAGATATGGTTTTCTGTAACCTAGACATCCTTGTACTCTCTCTGTAGTAAGAGTGGCCTGAATTCCTGGTCCTCTTGCCTGCATCTTCTGGATTATGAGCATGTGTCACCACACTGAAATTTAAAAAAAAAAAAATTTTTTTTTTTAAAGATTTATTTATTATGTATACAATGTTATGCCTGCAGGCCAGAAGAGGGCACTGGATCTCATTGTAGATGGTTGTGAGTCACCATGTGGTTGCTGGGAATTGAATTCAGGACCTTTGGAAGAGCAGCCAGTGCTCTTAACATCTGAGCCATTTCTCCAGCCCAATAAAAATTTTTTAATTTAAATTTTTATTTTTTATTTAAAAATATTTTAAGTTAGGCTAGGCAATGGTGGTATATACCTTTAATCCCAGTACTCAGGAGGCAGAGATATGTGGATCTCTGAGTTTGAGGCCAGCCTGGTGAAGTCTATAATGGGTTCTAGGACAGCCAGGGCTACACAGAAAATCCCTGTCTCAGAAAAAACAAAGAAAAAATTTAAGCTAAAATATACATCCTTCTCCTCCCCACTTCTCTTTCCTCTCCCTTCAACCTCTGCTATATCCCCTTCTCCCTCCCTCTCAAGTTTCAGGCCCTCTTCTCTGTAATTGCTACAGACCTACTTATAAACACATAAATATATAAATAACACCCTCAGTCCATTTACTGTTATTTGTGTGTATATTATTTCAGAACTGACCACTGACCACTTGGTACTGGATAACGATTAGGGGGCTCATCCCTGGCAAACATTATTTCTCCTGCTTTCAGCATTCCTTAGTTCCCTGTAGTCTAGATAAAATTACTAATTTTTAAAAAATATTTATTTATTATGGATACAATGTCTGTCTGCATGTACACCTGCAGGCCAGAAGAGGGCACCAGATCTCATTATAGATGGCTGTGAGCCACCATGACGTTGCTGGGAACTGAACTCAGCACCCCTGGAAGAGCAGCTGGTGCTCCTAACCTCTGAGCCATCTCTCCAGCCCCTAAAATTATTCATTTTGAGCCTGGCACATAACTTAGTAAGTGATTTCTGTAATTTTAAAATCTTGTTAGTATTAGTTTTACTAATTTTTAATAATTTGCTTATTTTCATTAATTGTCAAATTTGTCATGTTCCTATTTTATTAATTACAATCCTTCCCTAAGGGTTGGCTTTTTGTTTTTTGAAACAGGATATTTTTTTTTTTTAAAGCATGGATTCCTTCCTTCCTTCCTTCCTTCCTTCCTTCCTTCCTTCCTTCCTTCCTTTCTTATTTATACAACATTCTGCCTATACACCATCTTACTATAGATGGTTATGAGCCATCATGTGGTTGCTGGGAATTGAACTCAGGACCTCTGGAAGAGCAGGCAGTGCTCTTAACCTCTGAGCCGTCTCTCCAGCCCCTGAAACAGGATCTTAATTCAGTTGCCTGACCTGGAACTCACTTTGTCACACAGGCGGGCCTTAGCCACTAGACCTGTCTTGGATTTTTTTTTCAAGCAGAGTTAGAGTTTAATAGGAAAAGGTGTTGGGGGCTTAGGGATTAAGAGCTCTGGCTGCCCTCACAGAGGACCTGGATTCAGTTCCCAGCTCCCTCATGACAGTGCTTAATCACCTGTAACTCCAGCCCCTCTTCTGACCTCCAAAGGCACCAGGCATGTATGTGGTACACAGGCATTCATGCAGACAGAACACCCACACACATAAAATAGGATAAATCTAAAATGTTTTTGTTTTAAAGGTGTTGGTTCAGGTATCGTGGCACATGTCTTTAACCCCAGCACATAGGAGGAAGAGGCAAATGGATCTCTGTGAGCTACGTAGTGAGTTCCTGGTGAGACCTGTCTCAAAAGAAAAAAAAAAAAAGTTTCTCTGTGTAGCCCTGGCTGTCAGGGAACTCGCTCTGTAGATCAGTTTGGCCTCAAACTCAGACATCTGCCTGCCTCTCCTCCTGAGTGCTGGGATTAAAAGCATGTGGCATAAATTAATTTTTATGTGTGTGGCACCAATATCAAGTGGCTCATGTACATTGTCACCGAGTCCTCTGTGACTTGCCCCATGCCCACACAGCTTGCAAGGGGCAGCGGTTCTAGCGGCTCCGGCTCATGGTCTTAGTGCTCGTGGTCTCAGTACTGATCTTACCTCCTCCTCTTAATTTGTCTCATCTTTCAGGTAGATGGGAAGCTACTGTGCTGGTTGTGTACACTGTCGTACAAGCGTGTCCTTCAGAAGACCAAAGAGCAGAGGAAGCACCTGAGCAGCTCTTCTCGAGCCAGCCACCAGGAGAAGGAGCAGTACAGCCGCCTCAGTGGCGGCAGCCATTACAACAGGTAACCCCAGGTGCACAAGAGGACCATAGGAGCTGGGAGGGCAGGGACCACGTTTCTGCACTCCATTGAGGAGATGCCATCTCGTAGATGCTTCCCTGTTGTTACCAGCCTTTAGGAAGCCTCTTGCTTGCTCTGCTTTATAGTTCCCATGTCTCCAAGGGCCACGGAGGTCTCTGTATCGTGTCTTTAAGGTCTGTGCAACTTCTAAGTGCAGTTCTCAACTTTGTCTTGCATAATCTCTTCAGGATTGGATATTTTGCTTTCTGGCTAGGGACAGTATTTTGAACAAATAGTTGATAGGTCTTCTAGACTTTCTCAGGGTGGGGGCCAGTCAAAAATGTCCTTTTGTCGCTGGCAGAAGCTTCCTTTTAGAGTATGTACAGGAACGCTGAGAATTGGAGCTTTAGGTTTAATCCCGTCTCTAGCAAGTTTTTTCATGGACAATGAGGAAGAGAAAAGTGTTACCTCTCTTAGGGTTATTGTGAAGGCAAATTACATAGTACATGAATAGCAGTTTGTTTTCTAATGACAGTATTCAATGGGTTTTAGCTGTTTTTTGTTATTACTGTCATTAAGGGTTTGTTTGTTCTCTAGGCATTATTAAGAACTCTCATGGGCCAGGCACTCTGCTGGGAATTCAGGGACGAATAAAAGCCATGCTGCTCTCGGTAGTGTGCCGTTTGGTAGAGAAGACAGACTTGTAATCAAATCATTGCAGGCTAATGTAGTGGCCACTACTTTAAAAACCTGTCAAGGTTCAGGCAGGAAACACAGTTTTAATTAACTGCCTGGGAAGTCAGGAAGGCTGGCTTGGAGAAGAGCCTGCCGCAACTATCCCAGCTGGATTAGTCCTGCTAGGTGAGGATGAGGCACCCTCGTAGAGGGACTAGTGCTTGCAGAGGGCCAGAGGATGTGAGCCCACACAGAGCCCCTGAGTACATCAGACCATTGTGCTTCTGGAAACCGTAGGAGGAGGAATGGGCCCTGTTCCCCTCATCAGGGCCAGTGGGCAGCCACTGAGGGGCCCATGCAAGGGAAGGGCCCAGCCTATGTTGGCAGCAATCGCCCTGCCTGTAGAGAAGGCACTGAAAGAAAAGGTAGCTAAGGACTGGGGTAGAGGCCAGTGTAGTGCTTGCCTGACATTCTCAAGGCCTTGGATTCACACCTCTTCCCGGTGGGGCTGTTCTTTTTGTGTAATTATAGGTAAGCTTAGAAATGTTACAGGAAGGCCGGGCATGGTGGTGCACGCCTTTAATCCCGGCAGAGGCAGAGGCAGAGGCAGGTGGATCTTCGTGAGTTCGAGGCCAGCCTGATCTACAAAGTGAGTCCAGAACAACCAGGGCTATTGCACAGAGAAACCCTGTCTCAAAAAAACAAAACAAAACAAAACAAAAAAGCCCAAATAAACAAAAAAAGAAATGTTACAGGAACCTCACCTCAGCCTGGAGGTTGAGGTAACCGTAGCACTCAAGGTAGAAGCAGAAGGCTCAGGAGTTCAAGGCCAGCCACATCTACATGATGCCCTCTATGTCATGCCCTCACATAATCTAACTTCTCCCACCCTTACCCCTACCACACACATACAAAGAACCATCCTGAGCCCATGCCTCAAGAAAGTAAGAAGGTACTTTGGAGTGAAGATTATAAGAAATGTATCAATACATATTGGTAGTTGCTGAGTCAATAAAGGATAGTTCTCAGGTTTCTCATGTGGATGAACAAATATTACTTAAAAGAAAAAACCAGGAAGGGGAGGAGGAGGTTCCGTTTTCGAAATGCTTTGTTTGAAGTTCTAGCAGAATTGTTTATAGCTGAGCTGGGAACTGCGAAGACTCAAACATGAGTCAGTACTAGTACATTAAAAAAAATCACTTAGACCAGGCATGTTGGCGCATGGGAGTCCAGGACAGCCAAGGCCACACAGAGAAACTCTTTTAAAAACAGCAACAGTGAAAATCACTTAGAATCCAGCAATGGCAGTACAGTGCTTTTAATGCCAGCACTCAGGAGGCAGAGGCAAGTGGATCTCTGTGAGTTTGAGGCCAGCCTAGTCTATAGAGTGAGTTCCAAGACAGCCAAGGCTACAAGGCTACACAGAGAAACCCTGTCTCAGAGAAAGAAAGAAAAGAAAACCTCACTAGGCGTGGAGATGATTTTTATATCAAGAGCCCTGCGGCCTCACTAAGTTTCATTCAGTAGGGTGTCTGGAGTCTGCGTGTGGCCCCAGGGTTTCAGGATTCTAGTGGAGGTGAGCCCAGGAAGCAGCGTTTTCCTCCCCTGTAAAAAACCATGCTGTTTGATGTACAACTTAAGAGCAAAAACTGAGAACAGATGTTGAAGCATTCAGTATTTTAGAAGTAGGAAGCAGCCATCCTCAAAATAGGATATCTGAGGGATCAAAAGTTCCAAGAGTGATAGAGCAGCCACTGGGATCCCATGCTGAAGAGTCAGGGAAGAAGTGTAAGTGGGTGAGGAGGTGGCCCAGCAGTTAAGAGCACTTCCAGAGGGCCTGGGTTCATTTCTCAGCACCTACAGGGTGGCTGAGGTCCTGTGATTTTTAATCCAAGGGAAACTGGCAACCTGTGCGTCCAAGCATCCAAACCTATAAACTACCTTTTAGGCCAGGTATGGTGGCTCACACCTTTAATCCCAGCACTTGGGAGGCAGAGGCAGGTGGATCTCTGTGAGTTCAAGGCAAGCCTGGTCTACAAAGTGAGTCCAGGACAGCCAGGGCTAGCTACACAGAGAAACCCTGTCTCAAAAAAACCAAAAACCAAACCAAACAAACCACCTCAGTAGATTTTATTAATCAAAAATAATAAGCTGTTGGACAGAACAAATTGTTGGTCCATTTGATAGACTTTCCTTGGAGTGTTTTATTAATCTTTGATTTCTAATGTGTGTCTCTCTCTTTTTGCCATCAAAAGCCAGAAAACACTTTCTACATCTTCAATTCAAAATGAAATCCCAAAGAAAAAATCCAAGTTTGAGTCAATCACAACTAACGGAGACAGGTGAGCCAGCTGAAGTGTGAGTGCATGCACACTTGGAATGCATACACAGTTCTTGAGTACACGTGAGAGTATACCGTGCAGCTAGCCAGGGTCCCGAGTGGCCAGTTAGAAGTGCTGTGCTAGTCACTTTATAGTTGAGAGATAATTGATACTGAGAGCTGGTTATCAATTGGATATAAGAATTTAGGTGTCATAGTGGCTCATGCCTGTAATCTCAAAACTTGGGAGGTTGAGGCAGGTGGGAAGCCTTGAGTTCAAGGCCAGACTGATGTAAATAGATAGTCCCAGGCCACCCTGAACTAGAGATTGAGGCTCTGCCTCAAAAAAAAAAAAAAAAACAAAACAAAAACATAAATAAGTTATTTGAGTGTGATGGCACACTCCTTTAATCCAGCACTAGGGAGGCAGAGGCAGATAGATCTGTGTGAGTTCAAAGCCAGCCAGGGCTACATAGTGAAACCCTCTTCCAAAAAAAAGCATATTTACAACTAGCAACTGCATTAAGTGTAGTTAAATTCTTCGGTCCACTCAGGAAGTCTAAGAAGTGAGGTGCTGAAACGTTCTGTGTGGTCTGTGCCTGTAGCCTCCTCTGGGAAGAGTTGGTTTAGAGACAGAACAGAGGCAAGGTGAAGGCAGTGCATGTCTGTCAGAATGTTCCACACTTCTTTGGACCTTTTCCTACTGATGCTGGGACAGGCAAGAATAAGATTCCGTTCAGTGTTTTTGTTTCATTTTGGCCTAAATTCATGTTTTCCTTCCGGCTTTCCTCTGTCTTCCTCAGCTGTGCTTCCTCTCATGTGCTGCTTTGTCCTAATACCCAGAGCCGGTCCCAGCAGAGTCTTGGAGCCATCCATTCTCCTGTTCCTCCAGGCCCAGGCATCCTGAAGTGAGACCACCTCACACTTCCCCAAAGGCCTTGGAATCTTCTCCACTCTGAAAACTGGCCTTCACAGCACTCCCTCCCAACCGGTGTGGCCGAGAGGGTCTTTCCAGGGCTGGCTGCTGCTTTCTCTCATAGAACGTAAAGTCTGGAGGCTACTCTTCCCTGTTGTATTCTTTATTTACTTGATTTCAGGTCCTACCAAGGTAGTGTTTGTTGACACTAGTTTAATTGGTTTTCAACTTCTTGAATCCTCTGGAAATGCTTACCTTTTTCAGATTGTATGTGGGAAAGAACTATGCAGACCAATTTTCTGGTCTCTTCCTCTGTTCTTTTGAGCAGCTGGTCTTAAGTGTTTTGAAGAAAACAGATGTGTACATCTTCTTTGATCATCCTGTCAAAACTGCTTTAAGGAACAAACTTTTTGAAGCCCTAGAAATCAGGCCACTAAAGTCCAGACCTGTGCTCTCAGGTCCTTCTGCTTGCTTACACCCAGACTTTGTCAGTGGTCTGGGAGAGCTCATTCACAAGCTCCAGTTCAGCCAGCCCAGTCTTCAGTAGCTTTGCCTCTTCCCAGCCTATTTATTCTTTCGGTGTTGCCATTAGTCTTACTGTCTGTTGCCTTGGATGCACTAAGCTAAACCCTCAGGCTCTCTGTGCAGATTCTTGAATCACATCCAGCCACAAGTAAGGATAGCTTTTCTCAATGGGGTGCTAGTCCTTTCCTTAGCTACTTGGTCTTTTTTTTTTTTTTTTTTTTTTTTTGAGACAGGGTTTCTCTGTGTAGCCTGGGCTGGCCTGGACTCACTTTGTAGATCATGCTGGCTTTGAACTTACAGAGATGGGCCTGCCTCTGCCTCTCAGGTGCTGGGATTAGAGGTGCAGCACCGCGCCTGGCAGCTGCTTGGTCTTTTATTACATCCTCCAGAGACTCTGGACAGCGAAAGGTCATTTCCCCCTGTACTGGTTTTGTGTGTGTGTGATGGGAAAGTGCTCTGTCACCAGGCTGTATCTCCAGCCTCACACTGATTTTAAAAGTTACTAATTCTTATTTTATTTATGTTAGAGATAGAGTCTCGCTGTGTGCTTTTGGTTCTGGAGCTTGGGGTATAGTCCAGGCTGACCCCAAGCTTGAGGTAGATCACTAAGTACAGGCTATGCCACCATGTTTATCTTATAATCTGAGTCTTTAGATAATTTTTTCTGCCAGAGAAGTGTTCGTCTGTAAACACATTCCCTTGGAATGTTCCCTTATTATTAGTGCTTTTAATTACCTAGTCTGTTTACTTGCATTTCTTTGCAATATTCATAACAACAAAAAGTACATTTTGCTGTCCTTAGTTTTTGTGGGGTTTGTCCTGCTCTTTTACTTTACTTTTAAAGCATTCTGAAGCCAGGCTGGAGGTACACACCTATAATCCCAGCCAGCACTCGGGAGTGGAGGCAGGAGGATCAAGAGTTCAGTGTCATCCTAAGCACATACGGAATTGAAATCAGGAGTTCATGAGGCACTGTTTCAAAAAAAAAAAAAACAACAAAAGAGGCATTTCTTTATTTTATATTCATTTTTAATATTCAAACAAAATTTTTTATTTATAAATACGGAATGACTCAGAAATTTGCATGTCCTTCTTGGACAGGGCCATGCTAATCTGTGTATTGTTCAAGTTTTAATGTATGTGTTGCCAAAGGAAGCACTTCATATACTGTGTGTGTGTGTGTGTGTGTGTGTGTGTGTGTGTGTGTGTAAGTGTAATGGGGGGGCATGTAGAGGGGACCTCATGTTTCCCAGGATGATTGTCCCATCTATCCCTCCTGAGTTTTGGAATTACAAGCATGGGCCACTCTGCCAGGCTTATGTGGTACTAGGATCCAGCCCAGGGCCTTGTGTGTGCTAGGCAAGCACTCTGTCAGCTAAGGTGCTTTCCAAGCCCTAAAAATGTGCAGCTGCAGAGTAACAGGGAGCGCTTGCTTCCTGAGTAGGTGGAGGGCCCTTAGTTTCAGTCTCCAACACTAATTTTCTTTCTTTCTTTCTTTCTTTTTTTTTTTTTTTTTTTTTTTTTTTTTTTTTTTTTTTTTTTTTTTTGGTTGGTTGGGTTTTTTGAGACAGGGTTTCTCTGTGTAGCCTGTAGCCTTGGCTGTCCTGGACTCGCTTTTTAAACCAGGTTGGCCTTGAACTCACAGCCATCTACCTCCCTCTACCTCCGAGTGCTAGAATCAAAGGCACGTGCTACCCCAACCAGTTGATGGTTTATTTATTTTCATGTGCATTGGTGCTTTGCCTGTACGCGTCTGTGTGGGGTGTCAGATTCCTAGAACTGGAGTTATACACAACTCTGTGGGTGCTGAGACTTGAGCCTGGGTCCTCTGGAAGAGGAGCCAGTCCTCTTAACTGCTGAGCCATCCCTCCCGCTCTGACTAATTTTTTTTTTTTTTTTTAATTTATGGTTTTACTCTTTAATTTCTTGTGTCTTCCTCATGTTGCTTCATGGCAGTTTTATGTCAGTTTTATACTGCTACATTCTCTTATTTAATATTTAGGCATATTTTATTCTCTTTCTTTCTCTTTCTCATTTGAGACAGGATTTCCAGGCTGGTATTAAATTGATAAGCAAAAAGTTAAGAAGCAGTCCTGAAACTTTCTGTGGAGACGCAGGCTTGGACCTCAGGGATCTGCCTGCCTCCATATGTGCCTCCCAGGTGATAGAATCAGTGAAGAGTAGCACAGTGCCCAGCCTCCCCTCTTGCTCACCGTCCTGTAGCTTCCCATGTGGTGGACAGGACACATTATCTTAGCTTTGTCTGATGCTTTGATACTTACACGGTGTCTTTTTGGTTTTTTTGAGACAGGGTTTCTCTATGTAGCCCGGACTCACTTTATAGCCCAGGCTGGCCTCAAACTCACAGCCATCCACGTGCTTCCCAGGGTGCTGGGATTACAGGTGTGCAGCACCGCGCCTGGCTACACGGGTTTATTTTTCAGTACCTCTGCTCAGTGTTCCCTAATTCACTGGGTAAAGTGTCCTGTTCTGAGGAATGTGAGTTAGACGGTGTTTCTTCCTTGAGACAGTGCACCAGCCACTCTTCATCAACTGCTAAGTGCTAAGAGCAGTCGAAAAGCCAACTCGGCAGTGGGGGGCAGCCAGGTACCTACAGTTTGTCATTTCCAAAGGACCTTTGAAACCTCATTTTTTTCCCCTCTGCCCTTGAGCTGTGCCTGCAGTATTGGGCTTCCTTGTAGACTTTGGTGATGGCCTCGGGACCAGTGTGCTATGTTATCACTGCATCCTGTTTTGGTTCACCCAGGGAAAATAGCTGTTTTGAGAGCAGGTCTTGTTGCATAGCACAAGCTGGCCTTGAATTTCCAGCCTCTTCACTTCAGCCTCTTAGCACAGAACCTGTTCGTTTATTGAAAGCTTTCAGAAAAGACAGGAAATGTCTTGGAGAAGCAATAAGATCCTTGTGTGTGGAAGCAGTTGGAAAGACAAGCTTTCTGCCTTGCTAATCAGTTGTTACTTTTCATTTCAAGTACTGACTGAGCTAGGATCCAGAGTCAGAGGGATCAGGCCCTGATACAGAGTAGACTGGGCTGGATTTTTCAACAGTCAGTTCTGCAAGAGTAATTCCTATGGCTGATGCTGAAGCTCAGTGTAAGAGCACTTGCCTCTTGTGGATAAGGCCCTAGGTTCACTCCTCAGTACTGCCAATAGCAGCAATAACAGAAATACTCTCCTAAGAAACAGGTAGAGCAGAGCATTTGGTGCTTTGGAGACAATGAAAAGTTACAGGAGATTAGCCAAGTACCCTGTGCCCTTGCTTGTTATAGTTAGGAGTTTAAATAGACTCTGTTGGGTTGGGGAAGACATGTTCTGGTGGGTATTGAAACAAATACAAGGAAACTTGTAGCTCTGAACTTGGAGGAGACTGATGGTCCTTATCCTGATGCTGGTCTTACCGTTCCAAGAGCATGCATGTGCCTCACTTAGAACATGAGTCTAGTCTTTCTCGGATGCTTCATTCCAGGTGCTTCACGTGGACGGGGCCGTGCTGTTAGCAGTGTTGTCCCCCAGCCCCAGCCAGAGAGTTTGCCTTGTTAACTGTGCAGGGTGTGCAGTGAGAGGCCTGCTGTTGGCAGTTTCCTCCTTAGAGAAATGCTGCACACCAGCTGCCGTGAGATTAAGGAAAGCTCGAATGTAAAGAGGCTGCTGTTCTGTTGACAGAGGGTTAGGATCAGGATCCAGGTTTGTGTATTGCTTTAAAGATTGTTGAGGGGAGCTGGGTACAGGCCTTTAATCCCAGCCTGCAGGAGAGGCAGAGGCAGCTGGATCTCTGTGAGTTCAAAGCCAGCCTGGTGTACAAAGCAAAAATACAGGGACAGCCAGGGTTGTTAACACAGAGAAACCCTGTCTCGAAAAACCAGAAGGAAAAAAAAAAAAGGCCTGTTGAGAGAAGTAAACAAAGAAAACTTCCCTGGGATTCCCTGGAGGAAGACAGGAAGCAACATTTGGCAGTGATTCCTTGTTTAGTCAGAGGCACCTTTGACACCATTGAAAATTTTGGATCCTTACCCAGGAAACTTCCTATTGTAGACTCAGAAAAGATTCTGCATATAATTTCGGAGCCTTGCAGAGTCCCTGAGATGGGAGAAATTAGGAGGGTCTACAAGGACACGGGAGTCACCAGCGCTCTGATGAAATGCAGTTGTAGAAAGCATGCAGTGTAGCTGGGATCTGCCACCTCCGTCTCCTCCACTAAGCATCACAGAATTCTTTTTGTTGTTGTTGGAGACAAGGTCTCCACTGTAGCTCAGACTGTCCTGAATTGACCATATAGCCCAGGCTGGCCTCAGACTCACGGTGATCCTCCTGCCTCAGCATGTTGAATATTGAGATTACTGGCTACCATTGCGGCAAGGGAGCCAGTCTCCATCCTTTGCACCCCATCTTCTTAGGGGAGACTGGCTGCTTCCAGGGTGGGCGCCACATTTTCTTCGGAGCAGAAACTCTCACAGGACATTAGAGCTGAGCATGTGCTTAAGCACGCCGGTCTCTGCAGGGCTCTGGGAAGGTGTAATCACAGACAGGCTGTGTCAGCAGTGACGTGCTGGGGAGGTGCAGTGAGCCGGCAGCAGTCCCTTGGCTGGGGGTGCCGTGTCTGCTTTGCTCCCACATGAGAAGTGTGGGTGTATTGTTTGGGTTGGCATCGTTTTCTGATGACCACCTTTCCTGTGCAGTTCAGGTCCAGCAGATACAGAGTGTGATGTGGATGAAGCGATGTGCCTGATGGCGGCAATTCAGATTGATACTGAAGCCCCTGAGTTTACCAGCAAGTGACTGGAGTAAAGGACTGGGACCTTAAGTAGAGAAAAGTTTTTCCAATCAAGTTATGAAATTTCCCTCTCGTTCTCTATCCAGCTTTTCCCCAGACCTAGCTCTGGATTCACCGGGCACTGACCACTTTGTCATCATTGCCCAGCTGAAGGAAGAGGTGGCCACTCTGAAAAAGATGTTGCATCAGAAGGATCAGATGATCTTAGAGAAAGAGAAGAAGGTATGAGTTCATTAATGCCCTTCAGGCCGGAGGTTCATGAGAGTAAGATCTGTAGAATGGGTGTGACTCTTACCCTCTGTTGGGTACTTCCATAGGTGGCTGAAAAGAAAACCTGTCATCAGGTGGGGCTTCCCTGGGAAGAGGTGCCTGTTTGCCAAGGTGACTCATGGGATGGCGCTCTGTTGGTCAGTCCGCCTCAGCCTAGGGGTTCAGAGAGCTGGTTTTCTCAGCATTTCCAAGGAGCTCCCACTTCTCAGACAGGACATTATTTAATGAAGCCAACGAGCACGGTGTTATAAAAACAGGTCAGGCTGAGGGTGCAGCTCAGCTGCAAAATGCTTGCCTCGCACATGCCCAGCAGGCTTGGGGTTCAGTCTCCAGCAGAGAGCATATAACAGGTGTCTGTGTGTGTGTCCAGGAGGGGCCAGGTTATTGGGGATTAACCCAGGGTCTTGTGTGTGAGAGGAAATGCTGTATCACTGAACTACGGTTCTAGCTAACATACTGTTTAGTATGAGCCGACATAGAAAGTTGCCATCTCAAGGTAGAGAAATTCCATTAACTGTGTGCCAGGCATGCTGGCACAAACCTATGATCCTAGCAGTTAGGAGGCTATGCCAGAAGATAATGAGTTCTAGACCTACCTGGACTCTGTCTAAGAAAGAAGAAAAGCCAGGTGTGGTGGCACATGCCTTTCTTCCGAGCACTCAGGGAAGCTGAGGCAGAGCAGGCGAATTTCTGTGAGTTCGAGGCCAGCCTGGTCTACAAAGGGAATCCAGGACAGCAAAAGATACTGAAAAACCCTGTCTCAAAAATAAAAAAAAAAAAAAAAAGAAGACGGAGGAAAAGGGGCGAAGGTGCTAAGTGAGTACAGAATTGAGATATGAAAATCCAGTTGTAATGGAAATGTTTAATACCCTCAGGCTCAAAGGACCTGATAACCAAGTCTCACCTCTCCCTGGAGTGTGCTTTGTTTGTTTGTTTGTTTTTGAGACAGGGTTTCTCTGTGTAGCCTTGACTCGCTTTGTAAGACCATGATATCCTATAACTCACAGTGATTCCTCTGCCTCTCAAGTGCTGGGATTAAAGGCATGTGCCACCATGCCTGGCTTGGAGTACCCTTCTTGTCGACTATTTTTAGATTTTTTTTTTTCCCTAACTGTCCTGGAACTCCCTTTGTAGACCAGACTGGCCTTGAATTTAGAGATCTGCCTATCTCCTCCTCCCAGGCACTGGGATTAAAAGCATGAGCCATCGATGCCTGGCTTAGATGCCTGGCAGGCCTCTGTACCCACTGAACCACTTCCCTGACCCTTGTTCTACTTTTTGAGGTAGTGTTCTTGCAGTAGAGCCCTCACTTCCTGGAACTTGCCTCGCAGACCAGGCTGTTCTTGCACTGTGGCAGTCCTTCTGCTTTTCCTCCCAAGTGCTGGGACTAGAAGTACATGCTAGAGCTGCATATGGATCAGGCTGGCTTTGAATTCATATCAGCTCAGCATGACTTTGAACTTCTGATCTTCTGTTTCTCTAGTTCTGGGGTTACAGGCATGTACTGCCATGCCTGGTGTAAATTGTGTAGAAGTTCCCATGCTCTCGTGTAGTTTTCAGGGCATCCTAGAGACTGAAACCAAGGCCTTGGGCGTGTTAGGCAAGCGTGTAACCACTTTGCATCCCCAGAACCTGTCTGTTTTTCCAGTCTGCTGTGTGACTGACAGATGACAGTCACCCACATTTCTTGGACCAAACGAGAATGTCACAGGTGGACTTCTCCACAGTAGGGACCAGATGAGTGCTTGTGTCCTCTGTGAAGAACTAAAAACTTGGAAAAAAAGCAAATAGTGCTTGTATCCCGTGGCTTTCAGGACCAAGAGCACATTTCCCAGTTAGGACACCACTTTTGCCACACTGTGCCTGCCTGTCTGTAGCCCCATCTGTGGCTGCTGTAAAGTCATCAGCCATTGAAATAACAGCCCTTGGCGGCGTATCTGTGTGACTCTGTCCATACTGTTCCCTTTATTGGATACCCTTCTCTTCCCCCTCCATGCCTGTTGCTACTATATCTCCCCTCAGTTCACCAATCACTGTCTGCATAGTTCTCCCTCTCTTGAGTTTAACGTTGGAAGTCAGCTCAGTATTAACACTGTGGTCCTCTTGGTGTTAAACTCTTACACCTCAGGCTATTATAAAGATTGGACAGAGTACAAGTTAATTTATAAAAATAATAATGCCAGCAAGATGGCTGAACAGGTGTAGGTGCTTGCCACCAAACCCAGCGCCCTGGGTTTTATCTTGAGGATGTGCGTGGTAGAGAGAGCTGACTTCTTGAGTTCTCCTCTGCCGTCTGCATGCTCACCATTGCTCTCACTCCCACATCTAAGTAGATAAGCAAATGTAACTTAGCAAATGTTTTTAATAAAGTGATAGTTGACTAGGGTGGCTCAGTTGGTAAGGTGCTGGCTTTGAAAGCCTGGCAACCAGAATTGGATTTCTGAAACTCATATAAAGGCAAAAGGAGAGAATCAGCTCCATTTAGCTATCCTCTGACCTCCAGGTATGTGCTGTGCTACTTGTGGGCCCAAACATTTGATATACAAATAATAATAGGAAAAATTATATAAAGTAATAAATGAAGATTGAATGAAGTAATAAAACCAGCCTTTTGATAAGCTAGGGTCAGTTAGGAGGGGAGGAGGACCTTCCCTATCAGTGGACAAGGGGAAGAGCTTAGGGGGAGAAGACACAGGGAGGGATTAGGAGGAGATGAGGGAGAGGGCTATAGCTGGGATACAAAGTGGATAAATTGTAATAAATAATAAAAAAAATTTAAATAAAAAATAAACAAAAACAGCCTTTTGGAACTGATAGCAGTGATTACTCTCAAAACTCCTCAAACCCAGTCAGCTTGTGAGTGAGCATTAGGGGTTGGTGGTACTGTCAAGTCTTAAAGGTATTGGTAGTTTCAGTATGGAAAGTTTTTCGCTGTTGTTGCTTTGGGTGTGTTTGTTTTGGACGGTGCCTCACTGTATCGCCTACACTGGCCTTGAACTCAAGGTAGCCCTCCCACTGGGGTCTCTCGGGTGTTTGCATTTGTTCGCTGCCATCCTGACCCCCGCTGAAATGTTTACTCAGAGCTGGGGAGCTGCTGTAACGAGGAATGTGGGTGCCTTCCCATGATTCTCTCCCTTTCTGCTTTCTTTTGTTTGTTTTCTGTATAATAAAATTTTATTACTTTCACAATTTCTCGTTCCCACAGTTTCATGACATTTAGTACACTTAACATTTTTGTACAATGAATTGGAAATATTTTTACCTTAATTTTATTTTTATTAATTACAGTTTATTCACTTTGTATCCCAGCTGTAGCCCCCTTCCCCATCCCCTCCCAATCCCACCCTCTCTCCCTCTTCTTCTCCTATGCCCCTCCCCCAGTCCACTGATAGGAGAGGTCCTCTTCCCCTTCCATCTGACCCTAGTCTATCATGTCTCACTCATCAGGACTGGCTTCATTGTCTTCCTCTGTGGACTGGTAAGGCTGCTTCCCCCTCAGGGGGAGCTGATCAAAGAGCCTGGGTAATGAAACCCAAAAAAGAAAGAAAGGGAGGTATTGAAGGGGAGAAGTGAAAAAAGAGGGAAGGATAAAGAAAGGTGGTGAGCTCAGGAGTTAATGAACCTTCAGAAAAGCTTTAAGGAAAAAGGGTGCTGTGTGGCTTTGATGAAGTATGGATGGCAGGAGGGCCCTGGTTCCACTGAATGGTAAGACCGACTGTTTAGATCTGAAACCAAGACACTTACCATTATCAAGGAGTTCCTTCAAGTCATTATGATATTTTTCTCCAGATTACGGAGCTAAAGGCTGATTTTCAGTACCAGGAGTCTCAGACGCGGGCCAAAATGAACCAAATGGAGAAAACCCATAAGGAGGTCACAGAGCAACTGCAGGTGAGTGTGCTTGCAATGGTGTTTGATGACCATCCTTAGATCTCTCTTTTCCAAATAGAGCACATGAACCTCCTTAAGACATTGCTTTATTTAAGTTGCATGTGTTTTCGTCTTTTTCTCTCAAAAACTGGATTTGACAAATGTGTTCTTTGATTTAATACACCAGATGTGCGTCCAGATGTCTGAATTGTGTATCTGCTTATCGTGCTCATTAAGACTTTGTGGTTTGACTGTGTTGGGTACATTATCTTTTCGTAACAGTAGTCCCAAAGAGATCAAGGCTCCCCAAATGGACCTCTGCCAGACCCTTCTTTCAAGTCACAGAACTTCCTGTTGGTCCCTTCTCAGGACTAGTTCCTGCCTCTCCATTTTCCTCCGGTTACATCTACACAGACAGCTGCTCTTAGCTCTTAGCGTTATTTTTTGTTGTTTTGTGTTGTGTTGTTTTTCTATACAGGGTTTCTCTGTGTAGCCCTGGCTGTCCTGGAACTCGAGACCAGGCTGGCCTCAAACACAGAGATCTCCTGCCTCTATCTGGGTGTTGGGATTAAAGGTGTGCACCACCACCGGCTGCCATTCTTATTACTCACTAAACTTATTCTGCAAGGAAACACACACTATTCTGTGGAAACTGTCCTTGTGCTGACTTTATGTTTTTTTATTTTTAATTTTTAGGCCAAAAACCGAGAGCTTCTTAAACAAGCAGCTGCTTTGTCCAAGAGCAAGAAGTCTGAGAAGTCAGGCACCATAACATCTCCATAAAGACCCCGAGAAGGCTCCCAGCGACGACAGCCCATGCTCTGGGGTCAGGGTTGGCAATCTGGCTGTGCTCTGGGAATTGTGCTTTCTTACAAAATCTCTATGTCCTTACCGTTACCCTTCTCTGTGCGAATGTAGTGGGCTGAATGGAAACAGCTGGTTTGTGCCCTGCTATGGCTGCATGCTGAGTGTTTGGGCTTCAGACCCGCTCCTCCTCCTCCTCCTCCCCCTCCTCCCCCCTTCGTGCTCCGCCCTCTCTGTTTTAGTACTTTGTTTCTATAGTGGTGACTACTCGGTGTTGTGTGCAGAGTCTCTGTCCACCCCACCCCTGCCATCCCCATGGGCAAGCAGTCTGTCATCAGCTGTGCGTCACTGCCACCCTCTGGACCTTGAAAACTGCCACCTTGAGACTTCGTGCAGTGAGAGATGCTTTCTCTCACCAATAAACCTTTTGCTTCAGGGTATACTCTTGGGTTTTTCCAGGTATATTATGTATGACCTTTGTACTATGTATAGACAGAGTTTTATTTATTTTTAAAAAGGAAACCTTTTCTTGATAAAGGAACGATGGTAGCACAGCTAGTTCTTCTTGTAAAAGCGATGCCTCCTTGAAAAAAGAAAAAAATCCAGTCCTGCTAGCTTTTACTAAAAGAATCCAATCTTTTCTTTCCGTTACCTTAGAGTCTTAATGCTAAGGTAAATGTTGGAGGCATAAGTGTGGAGCTAAGTGCCTTTTGGAGGATCCCGTGGAAGAGCATTTGAGGAGATACTTAAGGAAGGTTGCAGAGACTTGACCAGTCTGTCTTTAAGTAAGGGCAGAAAGAATGGTTGTCCAGGTTGTACTGGACACTTCCCCACTCTATCTACCCCTCCTTCTTTTACATGATTTTAAATCCCCACACTGCCACTTCTTTTTTAAAAACATACCTGTTTCTTGCTTAGGTCAGCTGTCATACCAGGTTGTCATTAGAATACGTTTTTGTTTTTCAACATGAACAGATTCAAGTGGGGTAAGATTTGAACTGGTGTGTTTTTTGAGGGTGGGTGAGGGTTGGTTAGGTGTGGGCTGTGTGAAGGGGAGAAATCTCACTTTTCTTCCCTCCCTTCTCTCAGCCCATCCTGTGTGCTCCCTCTTTTTAACGGGAATGTTTAGGAAACAAGTGCTCCTGCAAGCAGCCGGGCCTGCCTGAGTGCCCTTCTCCCACCCTGACCCAGCATGATGTTGGAAGGGATATGTTTGTGTGCGGAGCCGCACTCTTCAATCTTGGTTGAAAGTGTGGAGTTAGAGCTGATCATGATGGCAGGTGACATTAGCACCACAGTCCACCAGCATTGGAGCTGTCACGTTCACTTGTTCATTTGCTCTGTAGTTTGTGATGGCGTTCCCTGAAGAGACACGACATGAGTGGCTCTTTCTGACAAGATGCTTATGTATCACTGTCGTAGGGAATACAGTTTTCCCTTCTAAGCAGGGAAAATGCCTCGCTAAATCACTTTGTAACTTTTTGAGTGAGAAACTTTTAGGTAAAGGTAATTGATGATACAATATTTTTCAGATACATTTGTGTTGTTTGTGGGGAAAAAAGCGTAGAAAAAGAACGACAGTCAGGGTTTCTTAAACAAAAAGTAAGACTGAGAAATTGTGGATGTGACATGTGACAATATACAAACGCTTATTTAGTTTTATACTACACCTTTTTTAAGGTCTTAGCATTTAATATTCAGCAAACCCATGCATTTTCTAAACTACCATGAGCTCCTGAAAGATAAAGAGGAAACCTCAGTCCTAAGATGTTGATTTTTAAAAAAATCATGACAGCATTTTACCATGAAATTGAGTAACTTTTGGTAACACCTTCCGTTTCTTTGTATGTTTGTAATAATGGACATTTTAAAACATAGGAATGTTTTGGTTTGTACAGACTTTGACATATGTGTGTTAATAAAAATTCATATTGACTCATGAATGTATTGATTCAGTTGCTGGGTTCTGTTTTTCTCCTTCCTCTCCTCTCCCTTGCTTTCGCTTCCCATCTCCCCTTCCTGTTTTGTTTTCTGTGCTTGGGGTGGAACCCAGGGCCTTGTTCAGGCTGGGTAATTGAACCACTGAGCTGTGCAAGCCTCATGTTTTTCTTGCTGATTCTCTATAAACATATCCTACTGTTTGCTGGCACCGTAAAAATAGTTTATCCTGTTTGTGGACTAATCCAGAATTTAAAACCTGTCAGCACTATCAAAGGGTTCTAGTTACTGTAAGACAAATGACCCTCAAATTTAAATAACTTGAAACAATTTTAATATGCCTACAGACCCTGCTGGGGTAATTTCTTTTTTATTTTATTGTTTGGTGTTTCAAGACAGGGTTTCTCTGTGTAGCCTTAGATGTCCTGGACTTTGTAGACCAGGCTGGTCTTGAATTCACAGAGATTGGCCTGCCTCTGCTTCCTGAGTGCTGGGATCAAAGGCTTGTGCCACTAATATATATTGGATAATTTCAGCAGAGCAAGGACAAGAGTTGTTTTCTGTTCCATATCTAGATTTTCAGCTAGGAAAATTAAAAGTCCATGGGGCTGGAATTTAAATGCTCACGAGCTGGGAGAGGAGGAAATGGAACATCCCTTCTGTATAGTGTAGCCTTCCCTGGCATGGTGGCCTTGAGGTAACCAGACTTAGACAGCACCTGAAGACTCCAGGCTGCCATGTTCTAGTGGATGGAACACTACCTGTGTTCTTCCTTATATGCTTCCGAGGTCACGTGTCCTCATGGCTACGGTTTACTCACTGGTAAAGCAGTCAGAAACCCACACACTCCGGGAGAGGTCATATCGTTTCTCCTGATAGTTTAATGACAAGGTAGAAGTGTTTGTGGGGTGGAAGCTATTATCAGAAAATCAGATCTGCCACTACCTTCTGGAACTAAAACATCCAAGACACCACAGCAATAGCTGCAATGTCCTGTCTTCAGGCGACATTTTTCCTGACTTCTCCAATAGCCTATTGGTTGCAGAGACAAAATTACCAATGCTATCATTCAGCATGAGAAGAGGGGACCCACGTGTTCCTGCCACCAGCAAGAATCACAGGTTGTGGCTGGAGAGCTGGCTCGCTGGTTAGGAGCACGGACGGCTCTTCCAGGGAACCCGGGTTCCGTTCCCGGCACCCACGTGGTAGTTCATAGTCATCTGTGACTCCAGTTCCAAGGGATCTGCCCGCCTCACCTGGCCTTTGAGGACACCGGTGCATGTGGTACACAGATAACATACGCAAGCAGAACAGCCGTGCACAAGATAAAATAATAAAAAAGAATTCTCTTTTAGGGGACCTGGGCTGAGTTGCCAGCACCGATGTGGCAGGATTCAGATAACTGAATCCTGAGGGTGATCTGACCCCCTCTTTTGACTTCTTCGGTCTCCTGCCCACACGTGACACGCATACACCCAGACGCGCGCACGTGATTTAAAAGGAGAACTGGTGTCTACCTTGTGCCGGCTCCCACCCTGATCTTGGCACATGCTTGCAAGCCCAGCCCTCAGGACACTAAGGGAGGAGGATCATGAGTTTGTGGCTAGCCTGGGCTACAGAGACCCAGTCTCAAAAAGACACCACCACTACCACCAACACTAAAACTGAGATTGTGCTGTGCTGTGAAGTCACAGTGCCTGGGTTTCCATCTTGTCTCTGTCTTAGGATTGTAGAGAGGATGAAATAACACACACAGAAACCTCAGGACCATGCCCTACACAGCGTTCGTTCAGTTGTCTGAGCTGTAAGCATCCGTGCTTCTACAGATTCGACATTTTCCGGTCAGGGTCCCACTGTGTACCCCTGGCTCTTCTGCAACTCAGAGATCCCCCACCTCTGCTTAACAAGTTCTGAATTAAAGGAATGTGCCATTACACTGCACCTCATCTTGTTTCCTTTTTAAAAATACCTTTTTAATGTGTATTGAGTGTTTTGCCTGCTTGTATATCACAGAGGCCAGACGAGAGCATCAGATCCCCCAGAATTGGAGGTACAGGCCCCAGGTGCTGAGTCTCAGGGCCTAGGTCCTCTGGAAGAGCAGCCAGTGGTCCTAACAGTTGAGCTAGCCCTCCACTCCTCTTTTTGTCACTTGAGAGGGAAGATGATAGACAAATGTTGTAAATAAACCCGAGAGTTGGGCTATATAATGTTATTTGTTATTTACCCTATGATTATCACAGCAGTATTATCTAACCTGCCGTCACAAATAATAAGGCACAGACACCTGTTAGATTTTATAATTGCCTATTTACCTTGGGCCGGGCAGATATTTCTACCTAGGCTAACTCAATAACCTCACCATCTACCTCCTAGCCCCCCTTCCAATGCCATCCGCCTTAACCATTTCCATCCGGGCTGCCTTCCGTCCGTAATTCCAAGATGCTTGCTTGTAGTCTTCATCTGGGCCTTTTTACATCACTGTTGGAGCTCTTCCTCCTGGCCCATGTGGTTTCTTCATGCTAACCCATCCTGGTGTTGTCCTCCCTTCTCCCTTCCCCTCTGTCTCTCTCCCATGATTCTCCTGTCCCCTAAAGCCCAGGACCCTTAGCCACACCTACCCCATTCTGCCCTGCCCAGGTATAGGCCGCTTAATCAACCAATCAGGTATAATGTCGTAGGCAGGTTTACACAACAAGGATAGGTGTATCCAGGCAGCAACCAGATCTTGAGGGCCAGCATCAGAACAGTGTGCAAAAGACAAATTAGGATGATCCTTATCCTTTCCCTTCCTTTCTCCTCTCTTCCCACCTCTCCCCCTCTCCCTGAATACCATCCCTTTACATGCTCTAACAGTTCATCAATGGGGTAGACGTTGGCATGGTCCAACTCAAAGCCCTGGATCTGGCCCTGAGAGGTACCTGAGCTGGTCAGCTTGCCAGCTGTCCTGGACGTGAGCTCTCCAGGCCTCCCCGATCCTAATGCTGCAGCCAGCAAGGACAGAGCCAGCTCTCCCTCTTTCATGTCCCCAGGGCTGGCTCAGCCAGAACTCCAGCAGTTTGGGCCAGCTCTACTTTGCTGCTCAGGCAAGGTACAGGGCCTACTCTCCCGAGCGCTGCGGCAGTTAAGGTGCTGGGCCCACTTTCAAAACCGGTGAGGGACAGGACCAGTTCTCCCACTCTCATGACCTCAGGGGCCAGTTCTCCCAACTTCTGTAAGTGGTGAGAGACCAGGGGAACAGGGAAGGCCTCTCCTTGCCCACAGCAAGGCAGACGAATTTGGGGGCCAGGTCTCTTTTGGGGCTGGTTCATCCATGCCTCCACCACTAGGTTCGGTTCTACTGTTTAAAAAAAGCTTTTTTTTTTTTTTCTAGACAGGGATTCTCTGTGATCTTGGCTGTTCTGGACTCCCTTTGTAGACCAGGCTGGTCTACAGAGAGAGAGATCCGCCTGCCTCTGCTTCCCAGAGTGCTGGGATTAAAGTGTGCCACCACTTTCAGCCTTATAGCTTTTCTTCTCCAAGACTTTATAGTTAATCTTTCCCAAAAGTTTGCTCTCTTCCTTGCTTTCCCTCCCTCTCTCTTCCTCCCGCGCTTTACCACCGAGCTCTATTCTAGCTCTGGTTACCATTATAATTCTAACTGATACTCACCAAGTCAAATATAAACTCACACGTGGTTTTCCTCAACAAACAACCATGAAAGATTGTCAAAACCGAGCGGGTTGTGGCGGCACTCCCAACCCTGGAGGTAGAAGCTTGCAGATCTCTGTGAGTTGGGAGCCATTCTTGAGCCTCATCTGCATAGGGACACCCTGTCTCAAAAACAAGAAACAAAAATGTCAAAACAGGAGAAAAAATTGCTTGGAGTGAGCCACCAGATGGATTCCAATAATGACGACATGAAGTTTTAAAAAAAAAAAATCAGAACATGGGCTGGAGAGATGGCTCAGAGGTTAAGAGCACTGGCTGTTCCTCCAAAGGTCCTGAGTTCAATTCCCAGCAATTACATGGTGGCTTACAACCATCTATAAGCCCTCTTCTGAATACCGTATAAATAATAAATAATTAAATCTTAAAGAAAATAAAAATCAGAACATGACATCTGGAGGGCAAGGGTAATTGATTTCAAGGTTTGTCTGCTACTTATGGGGGTGAATAAATACCAACACACTGAACTAAAGAATTCCTATCTGCATCTCATAGCAAAGCAGTTCTAACTCAATAAAGTTTAGAGAAATACTGTTCAGACCTAGAAGATGCTGCTGCAAGACACAACTGGTTTACAAACGTGTGTGTGTGTGTCTCTGTGTGTGAACATCTTTCTTTTTTTTAAGATTTATTTATGTATTTATTGTATATGAGTGCTCTATCTGCATGTACACCTGCTTGCCAGAAGAGGGCCTCAGATCTCATTATAGATGGTCATGAGCCACCATGTGGGTGCTGGGAATTGAACTCAGGACCGCTGAGCCATCTCTCCAGCCTGCGGATGCACATGATTTGGATGGGACTGGTAATCCCGGGCTACAGGGTATGTGTGAATCCTGGCTGCTGTTGTTGTACCAGCAGTATGACACTGGGCAAGTGCCGGGAATCCCAGAGCATGCCAGTTCTCTTATCACTACCAAGAAAAGCAGATCTAACCTTAATGGGGAATCCTGAGAAGACTGTGTTTGCAATTAACAAAAGGACTAGTGCTGAGAGATCTCAGTCTTTAAAGTCCTAGATGGTCAGAAATTTTTGTTTGAAGTGTCTGCAAGAACAGAATGTTTTATCTGGAAGGCTTGGGTGACTTGGACAGAGGAGCACCCTGGCTTTCTAAGCCAGGTGTAGAGCTTCAGATAAGAAATTTCCAACCGCAGCATCCAACATTCATCTTCACATGGTAGTTTCCAAGGAAACAGGATCCTGAGCTCTCTCGATAGCTCAGGCCCCATGATAATCCCTTTACACAGCCTGGAGTGCTTTGAAGCCGTCAGAACACGGCTTCCGGACTGGAGAG